ATCATATCTTCCGAATACTGTCAGCTTCCTTCATGATTATTTTAGCTTTATCTGCTGGATTTAATGCCGATAGTTCTTTCGCATGAGTATTTAGTTGTTCTAGTGTTTTACTCGCATTATCGATACTCTTATTAATTTCCTAAAATTTCAAAATAATACGTGTAATTAATGTTACATGCTTTAATATATTTATATTATGAATTTTCCATATACTCGTACTATAAAATCTCGTATAACGACTTCACTTATATATCACACACAACATAAAAATATTACATAGATGTACAGTATATATGTATGTATATTACTATTGAGATTTTATGAAATACAAATGAAGTTGTTATAATAAAATGTCATATACCTCGCACATAACTTGTAATTCGTTGATTTTATCTATTCCTAACTCTGTAACTGGAGTTGATAATATCTCTTTCGCTTCAATATCTCTACAGAAATTTCTTAACTGTGTACGATATTGATTAAACGATTTAGCTGCCGTTAACGCTTGATCCAAGTTATTCTTCTTTATATCTAATCCTTTTTGACAACTATCGTATTTGGCTTTGATATCATCTATTTTCGCTTTAAGAGTTGTACAGTCTTCTTGTGAGATCTCATCTGTTAAAAACTTGAGCGTATTTTCTATGCTGTCTACAACATCGTGGTAACCGTCTAAATCGGATTGTATATTCTGTATAATATAGAAATAGCGTTTAAATGTTTTTGAATATTCTTTCAATCCTATATTGATAACTATTACAAATATAAAATCCATAATCGTATTATCGAATTTCTAAAAAGATCTAGAATAAAGAACGAGATACTCTATTCTAAAATTATACTGTATTTTACTTATAAAGCGAGCGTTTTAAATCTAGTATGTAATAAAAATCTATATATTTATCGTAAATATTTTCGACGTAGCCTATTATACTATAATTAAATCAAATTTCTATAAATAATAATATTTAATTGAACTATAAAATTAGAACTTTTATAACTACCTTTCGATGAGTCATATTATTCTCAATTTGATCGATGTCAATACCGACATCCTCGTCTTCAGTTAAATACGGTAATAACTCATCTAGCCATGTATTCAATGATTGTGAATTCGATTCCAAATTTAAATAACCCTTTCGGACTTGCTTTAAATTTTCTTCTTTTCCGCTTATTATCTTATCTATATCGTTTACACGATCTTTAATCGTCGATTTGCATTCTTCTAATTCGTCCACGTCGTTATCCGAATTTAATTGAACTAATTCGTCTACATTTTCTTCTAAGTCTGGTAGCATATCTTTAGCATTCGATAAAGTCAACGCAAGTTTCTACAAGTAATCACATTTTCCATAATATTAACACTAATATAATAAATTAATGATGAAACTATTACTAAATTATCCTTATAAATACGATAAAAATATACTCATAATATTTATCTATTACTAATCTAGTTTACTTACTAACCTCAATAATAATCTCAATATTATATATATACATATACATTTAGTGTGATACGCTATATTCTACAGTGTTATAATCGATGTTTAATTCTATTTCTTAAGTTCAGTAACATTAGATAATTATGTTATACGATAGTATAGCTCTAGTATATTAATAATTAACTATTATAATAATTATAATTATATACCGTAGATATAATATATACAAATATAATTGTTACCCTAAATGATTTGATGTTTTCCACACAATTCTCTAATGGTAATTCTTTAGTTTCCATCTTAAATAGATCAGAGCTTTCTATCTCTTGACAAATACTTGCTAATTCGTTTTTATTCTCTTCTAGTCTTTCTGCTGTATTTAAGCCGTTCTTTAGCTGACGTTCCCTTAATCGACATTTCGATATAAATTCTTTGTTTCTGTCTTTCAATTCAGCGAATTTCTTATCTAAAGTATCTATATCTACTTCACAACAGTCCGGATATAATTCGTCGAGTTTGGATTCTAATTCTCTTATCGCGACATTGTATTCATCGTTAATTTTCTGCGATGTTAATTTATGATCTTTAATATTATTTTCTATAGCTTCCAATGACGATCCTACTGACTTTACCAAATCGTAATCAGTAATTGTTATATCTAATGCCTCAATCGCATTTCCGTATACATTATTCCAATCTTCATGTTTATCCTTTCTGTCTTTTAGTAGATTTTCTTTCATATTGATTACTTTGTCTGCTTTTTCTAGCCGATCTTTCACACGTTTTAATTTATCTTTCATTTCATTTGACATAGCTTCTAAATCTTTTCCAGATACCGCTTCTATCTTACTCTCGAGATTCTTCAGTAATTCATCATTACTATCTATTGCGTTTTCTAGTTCCTTACATTTCTCTAAACACATATCAGACTCGTCTAATTTAACTTGTGCCATTTCTTGACGTACGAGTTCAGTTTCTTCTATTTCTTCGCATTTCGAGTTTAATTTCTTATATATTTCCTCGAAATCGTTAGAAACTTCGTATGCTTCTTCTACGTCACTCTTCTTATTCTCGCTGCTTTCTTTTGTCAAGATGTATTGTTCTTTTAAATTTTCCACTTCTTTTACTATCTTCTCTTTCTCGTCTTGTGGAACATTTTCTGTTAGCTCATCACAAATATTTGTCAATGTCGATATGAAATCACCTCTATCTTTAATATCATTCTCAATGTTCTGAAACAGATTTTAACATAGACATATATCATAGTTAATATTGGCTTCACAATAAATGATAGTTTCTAGCAATAAACAACATAAGATTAGTCGCTAGGTAGCAATGATCATTAAGAATTAGATTTAGCACCTTTGTGGTGTTTCTATTATCTTCAATATTAGTACTCGATGTTTTTGGTAAGTCTACTTTCTTTAATTGATTATTTACACTTTCCAGCCAGTTTGATAATTCTTTCAGATTTTGATCAAGTTGTTGTGATTGTTCTTGTTTCATTTTCAAATAGGATTCATTCTCTCGCACAGCAATCTCTAACTTACGCAGTCTATCCTTAATCCCGTTTACTTTACTGGGTAAGTGTTCATAGCTACCATCAGTATCAAGCGAAATAAGCTGATTGGCCAATTTTTCCAATTTATGGGCAAAATTTTCACCTCTATTGAGTGTTTCGATGATTTGCTAACACAAGAATGCATTCATTTATTTACAGAAAAGTAGACCTCAAAAGTTCTTTATATGTTAATTAAGTAATTCTACATATTTCTTTAGGAAAGCCTCCCACTAAATAATCTTAAGTCTTACCAATTGTTTTTCGAATTGTTCCTTCATAGAATTATCATCAATAGACACAATTGGTTTAAAGGCATAATCACCACTCTCAATTTCATCACATAAAGTGGTTACGGCATCGTATGAGAGTTCAAATGCCTCTAATAATTTTAGTTTTTTCTCCTCTGCGCTAGCATTGATCAATTCATATTTATTTCTGATATCGATTATATCATTCCCAATCTCTTCAGCATCTACAACAGAAGAGTTTTTAATTACATCTTCACGGAGTTCTTCTATCTCATTTAGGCATTCTATGTATCTTTCCCTAGTAGTGTGATCGACCTACAGAAATATCATACATAAGATGACTATAATTATCAACTTCAACATCAATTATACCGCGTTGCAATAAGTAGAAGCAACTAACCTGAGGGGAATCAATTGCTGAAATTTGAATTCGATCAAGAAATTTTTTAACATTTTGAATTTTGTCTTGTAGATCTTTCATTTGGAGATCGTACTGTCGGACACGTTGATATTTCTCTCGAGCAAAGTCTAGCAAGTTGGCCAATCTGTTCTTGATACTACTAACGTTACTTTCTATGAGTTCAGTGACAGATGGTGAATTTAGTACAGTAAGTTCACTGGCAGCTTCTTCCAATTTCTGGACGGTTTCATCACTTGATTCTATAGCTTTAAATATTTTCTGCAAGCAAGAAAAAGCTCAACTTGTAAAAGAAACTGTATATGGCTAGCTCACCTATCAGAACTCATCAAAATTATATTATATACCTGCAATTCAGTTTCATAATCGTCAACATCCCTTAATCTCATAAGATTATCACTGCTTCGCATGACACAGCTAGATTCGACTTCTGCGCAAAGTTCTAGCAAGCTGCTGATACTTTCAGAATAATCTCCGACTACATTTTTTCCCATTGTAAGTCTGTCCTCTTTCTCAGTTAGCATCTTAATCAAGTCATTATAATTTTCTTCGACTTCTTGTAATTGGTTGGCAATATTAACACAGTCATTTTCTGGGCAACACGCGCTAAGCTCTTTTCCTATCTGATTCACCACTATTTTAGTACTCTTACAACGATTTACATCTCCTCTGCAAATCTAGAAATAAATTCAGAACGTAATTATTTTTATAACATCCATTAACGTAAATAATCAAGAATCCTTACATTGTAATCACAAAGTTTCTGATCTACTTCTTCTATAGTCAAACCCACAGAAAGATCTTTCACTGTATCACTGTCTTTGTAACTAAGGATATCTCTAAGTAATTCTTGTACTGTCTTGTCGAATTTATTAGATAAGGTTAACTTATCATTTAATTCATTTACTATAACGTCTATCTTAGATCGCATCTCTGTAAAATGTCTATCTATATCAGCCACTTTTAACCCAACGTCTTCAGATACATCAAGAGAGCTAACTTTTACAAGTTGATCTGCACAAGTATGTAATTCAGTCAACAAAACTTGATCTTTAACCAGATTGTTAGAAGCTTCCTGAATTTCATAAAGTTAGAAAATTAAAAATTTATTCGTAATCACATAATCTTTTGAACGCAAGTTGCTTACTTTGCTTTGGATATTGAATTCTTCTAGCGAGCTTAACCCCACTGAGTTAATTTCTACGTTCATAATGTCGCTCGCTATCAGTATTTCATAAATTCCTCGTAGATTTACTAACTTAGCCTCAAAGTTCTTAGCAGCATCATTCGTCTTACGCCATTTGTCTCCTTTCTCATTAATAGTTATCAAAATATCTGAGTAACGGTCTTTAACCTTATCAAGTTTACTCTGAATTCTAACTACATCTTTGTTTGAGCCATAATTAGTAATTTCACTCCCAATTTTTTCAATCTCGTCAATGACTTCCTTACAGTTTTCAACATTGCCTTCTATAACCTACATCAATAATTTTTTTATAGGTTACGCATGTTATCGAAACTTGATCAAAAGAAAACTATCAGAAATCAAATTACCTTATGTGCCTTGATACACTCCTCTATAACAGTTGTATCAATAGTACTGAGAGTATTTTTACGCAATTCTCCGTCGACCGCATCAAAGTATGCCTTTGCAAAATCGACTTTTTCATCGAACTGACGTATTCGGTTAGACTTTTCTTTTAAGAGATTCTTTTTATCAGTTAACATGGCTCTGATATCATGAGCACGATTTTTAAGACCCTCTACCTTGTTTTGAAAAGGATGTACAAGTTGACTAGCGTCTGAAAACAGTTTAGCATTTGCTTCCGCCTCTTCTGCAATTTCGTCATAGACATTGAAACTCTTTTCGAATTCCTAAAGATAATAGATACTAACCTTCAACAGTTGCACAATCAGAAGACAGTAAAATAATTCGCAAATTTGATTGCCCATACCTCAAATTCAGCTAAGCAACTTTCCACAACTTCCGAATCCACACTAATAGTATTCACGTCGGCAAGTTGTGTAATTGTTGGATTTTCGCATAAGGTGTTCAATTCATTGTAGGAATTTTCAAATTCTTTTGCCCTTAAAGAGTACTCTTCCAACTTCTTCTTCCTTTCACTTATCATATCGTCGAAATTTGTAAACTTATTTCTCAAGTTGGAAACTTCTGCAGTAAGTCTCTTGGAGTCGATATCCGAATAAGTAACTAACTTTGATCCTATACTGTCCAATTCATTAAACTGATCCTTCCAACTTTCAATCTCTTCAGCAGCAAACTATTCATATTAAAATATTCAAGACTTTATTGAAAATTCGAATACCTAAATGATGAATAATAACCATGATCTAAACATACCTGTAGCTCAACTAGATCTTTTGTCAATTCTCCAGCTGTTACAGCTGTAACAGGCGCTTCCACAACTTTCTCCAGTCCACTAATTTTACTTTGAAAGTCTTGAACTATCTCGTAAGAATTCTGCATAGTCTGTTCCTTTTGTTTTAAGTTTACGTATTTAGCATTTAGCGTACTGTTCACATTTCCTGCTTCAGAAGTTAATTCCGATATTTTTTCGTGGAAGTACTGAGCATCTTTATCGAAGTTAACATCCAGTAACGTAGCGGTATTCTCACTCATTGCTTTAATATCACTTTCGATAATGGAAACCAGGGTTTGTAATTCCTAAAAAATTATTTAATTTTGTTTATTGTCTCTATAGCTTTACTTTATTTTTACCTATCATATAGTAACTACCTTGTAATCTGACAACAGCTTCTCAATCTCCACCTTGTTTACATCAAATAACTTTACAGTAAGGAAAGGTCCACATTTAATGTCTTGGCACTTTTGTTTCACCTCTTTATATTGTCGTGTAAGCAATAATACCATTTCTTCACCCTTAATAAGTTTCTTTTCCCGTTCTTTAATTGCCTCAAAAATACTATCAACCTTACTCTTAACATAATGTAAAATACTTAGATTGCCGGACTTTTGTTGATCTAGTGTCCTCGCTATTAATTTTTTGTTCAACTTCTGAAGTTGATTTATACTTTCTTCGTGAGTACAAAGTTCGTCTGATAATTTCTATAAGGAAAAAATTGGAATCTTAAAAGCTGCAACTTTGAGGTGCAGAGTACAAAATAATATCCGAAAGAATATGAATTTACCCGCAAATAAGATAACTTAGGTTGTACTTGATCAATTTCAATTTCATTCAGTAAGTCTATCAGCGAACTGCTAGTCTTAGTACACCATTTATTTATTTCATCGATAGAGATATCAATGAATTCAAAGTCCCGTAATCGTTCTATTAATTCGGATTCTTTAAGTCGCACTTGGTCTCTTAAACTAAATAGTTTATTCTTAAATTGCAAAAACTGATCATATTTTGGTTGTGGGTAGTTTGCCGAGTTTAATGAAGATAGCATATCCATGTTTTCGCTAGCCACACTGAGCGCATCGTCTCCGATCATAAACTGCTTGTGACATTGCTATTAAACAAAAAACGATACGCTGATCATGATCAACGCACTAATTTCATTTAGACAATATAGTCATAACTTACCTGACATCTATCTATGTAGCTTCGAATATCTTCCATTCTAATAATTTCAACATCAATTCCGACAACTCCACACAGTTCGACTAGCCTACACGATTGGCTTACTTTTTCCAAGGATTCTTTAATCCGATCAGCAGCTACTTTCCCACTTTCTAAGTCATAGCCGCGCTGGTTGATTACTGCAGTAAGCTTTAAGCTATTGTCTTTAGCAGCCTGCAATTTTAATTTAACATCAGCTACTTCAGACTCGGGCACGTTTTGTATGACACTGTTATGCATTTCTTCAATTTTGGCTAAGAGAGTGTCCTGACGTTGAATCTTGTCGAGGATAATCCTCTGTTCGAAAAGATTCCCCTCTATTTCTAAGATATCAAACCCAATCAATTCCTTTCCAGGCAAATTTTTATTAATTTCATACTGCAAGTCTTTTAACTCCTTAATACTAAGATCAAATCGAGATATGCTGTCATATTTGGTTTTAAGCTCTATTCCCTTCTCTTGTATTGCTTTACCAATTTCCATTGTATTTTCTTTTAATATTTTAACCTTCTCAAATAATTGCGATGCTTCCTTCTCGTTAAAAGCTGCTAACTGAAGAGCAGCATGATCGACTTCGCTTAGCAAGTATTCATTATGATTAAGGTTACTTTGTAATTCCATACAAGTAGCATGATAGCTTTCTACTTCAGTTATTGCTAAATCTTTTACAATAACTTCCGAAATTGCTGCAGCCTTAAGACTTTCGTATATATTGTACAACTTATCATAAACTTCCTCAAAATGTTTGCACATCACCATTACTTTTGATGCCTGTTGCCTCTCTTCCAAAGCCTTCATTCTCAAGGCAAAATACCGATTCCAGGTTTCTTGCACTTCCTGATTTATCTTACTACTATTGATCTGGGTAAGGAAAGGCATTTGTTTATTGAAAGAGTCTTCTATCGTCTGTAATACGCTGTGGTAACCATCAATTTCGACAAGTAGAGTTCCTAGATCGTTCAAACTTTTGGCTATTGTTTCAGAAGTAATCCCAATAGTTTGATCCAATAATAACTCGTCAGAAAGGCTATCAAGCCAGGAATTAACGTCGCTAATATTTTTTATATAAGCTTCATAGCATTTAAGTCTCTCCTGCAGGGCTTGTTTATTTACCTTCAATGAAGAATTTATTTCTCTAATTTTGTTTTTAGATCTCTCAGGTTCTTGCATTATATGAGAAGAAAGATGATAAGGATTTAATTTAACAACTTGTTCTGTAATAATTTCTAGCTTTTCATGTAGGGCCATGTGATGGTTGATTTTATTCTCAAGTTCTTGACAACTAACAATATATTCGTGTGTTGCATTAATATCTACAGCTTCGATTGTTAAGTTAATGATTCTTGAGGATTCAATATCAGCATATGACTCCTTAACAGCCGCAAGACAATTTATATAAAAGTCCAGCGCTGTCTTTAGTTCTTTTAACTTATTTTCTTTTGTAGTGACAATCTCCATTAATTGAGCATAATTTTCTTTCATTTTCGATATCATGCGTTTGACATTGATTAAATTTTCACCAGAACAAAGGGTTACCATATTATCACCAATACTCTCAATTTCAGCTACGTTATTTCTTTCATGGATTACTTCTTCTTTTACTTCCTCCATTAGACGTGAATTCTGTAATATACTATCAGATTCAACACCAACCGTCTGAAGTTTTAGCAATTTTTCTCTAACCCTAAACTGCCATGTATCAAACATATTTAAATTTTTATCTAACTTCTCATATAATTCTCCTTTCGTAAATAACGATTTCTGTCTGAATTCAACATCTTGTCGTAGTGCTTCAAAGCCTTCTACAACAGAATTTAGCTTCTCCCGTATTATGCCCTTAGAATCTTCCGAATTCATTTCCATTAGCTTTTCTGCACTTTTTTGAGCTTCAGTAAGGATAATGACATACTCTGATTGTAAATCCTTGATTTTTGAACATTTTAAGCTAGCTTCTTTGAGTTCCTTCAATCTTATCGAAGATAAATCAATTTTTAATATATTTTCCTGGCTAATATTCTTATTAAACCCATCAAGTTCACAATAAGATTTCTCAAACTGCTTAGCAGCCTGTAAAGCGGATTTTACTAAGTGATCTTTGGATTTCAACCGATGTTTTAATTTACCGTATTCCGCATCAATAAACTCAATATCACTCTGAAATTCTTTAGTTATTTCTTTAGAAGTGGTCACAGTAATTTCATTAAGTTTATCTTTGACAGCGCCAATCGAATTTTCAATGGGAAGAAGTTGATCATGTATTTCAGTAAGATGATAACCACTACTTTGGATATCGTCAACCGTAACTCCTACGAACATTATAGCATCTAAGTCATTATTTAGCATTATTATACGGCTATTCAAACTTTTTAGTCGCTCATTAATTTCAGTTACGTCTCGTTGCCTCTCCATTAACACATCTTTCTTCAAATTAACTAAATCGATTAACTTTCTCACTCGATCATTGGCATCTTGAACAATCTTTCGAAGAAAAGATGGGTTTGTAGATATTTTACGCCCTACCATTTTTTTAATATTGATTATCATGTTATTAGTAAGATCTTGATAAACTACAAGGCTAGCTAATGCTGTCTCACACCTAGCAATGTAACTACTAAATAATTCCATATCGACCGTTTCAACTTCTATTTTTGCTACATCCTTTTCAGCGTCATTACAAAGTTCGTGTAAAGATTGCCTAGAAGTTTGAAATTCTAGCATCGCAAACTTGATTCCACGAATTTCATCATCGTTCTTTCTAACAATATGTTGCAGTCCTGAATAACGATTATGAATTCTTTCTGATTGAAGTTTGATCACATTCATTTCACGTTCCGAAGCTTTACTCTTGATATCAGAAACAATTTTGCGTAATTGCATTACATTTTCTTCGCCTTTACTAATGTCATCTAAGAGTTCTTTATTTTTCACCAAAAATTTATCTACGTCATCTGGATTTAAATCAATTTGCTCGCTTTCTTTCCTGCTTTCTAGCTGATCTAACCATGTTTGTAGCTGCTTTGTAGACTTGTTAAACAAATTTACCTGATCCCTTTTCCATTCAAGGTTTTGTTTTAGATCCATGATTGTACTTTCCATATCGGTAAAACGAGACCGAATTTCATCAGCCTTTTGATTTATTAGCAATGATACACCTTCTGGATTAATCTTTATCAATTGATTTGCACTTGCTCGCATCCTATCAACCGTACTTTGGTTACTTTTCATTAAATTCTCATTTACAATGCAGCTGTCAATATAATCATTTACATCTTCGTTAGGTACTAAAGCAATATCAACAGTACAAATGTCTTCAGCTTCTATTTTATCAATAATCCTTTCTAGTAAATTGTAACATTCTTGGAATCGTTCTGCTGCATCTAAAGCAATTTTGAACACGTCACTTCTACTGCTAACAGCTTCACAGGTATCTTTATAAGAACTAGTTAGCTCGTCAATCTTCAACGCTAATTTTTCTTGATCTTCATGGTTACATTTTGTCTCAATGTCCGATTTTGAACTTTCTAACGATGATAAAGACTGCTGACGTTGATTGCAATCTTGTAGCATAATTCTAAGATTATTATATTGGTTTTCGATGGTTTTCACTTCAAGCCCTATAGGATCAGTCTGATTAATTTGGAGTTGAATTATAGAAATCCAACTGTAAAAATCTCGAATCTTATCATTTAATGCGCGAATTATTCTTCTCTTATCTTTAAGTTCCTTTTCTTTGACAGTTTTATTCGCTTTAATATCAATAATCTTATTTCGTATGCTGTCAATTTCCCCGCTAATTGATGTAGTGACATTTACGGGACAGATAGCAGCAAGCTTATCTAAAAATCCTTCAGCACGTTCGTTTACATCTTCACAACTAGCCAGTAATGTATCAATTTCTTTACATTCCGCAATACAGTTGTCAATATCATCTGTAGTTATATCAGTAATGCCTAATTGTACCACTTTCGTACTTGAAAGATGACCATGCAATTCTACTAGCCTTGCTACTAAATTTTCCAGCATCTGCATAATAACACAACAATCTTCTAGCGACTTCTTTCTTTCCGAAACAACTTTAGTCATATCTTCATGCTTCTTCCTAGCAACTTGCAACCGATTCCAAATGGGAAGCATACTTATCGACGTAGAACTATCTGAAGAATCTTTCAGCATCATTTCCAATTGTACAATTAAACCACCACAATTCTCCAGATTGTTATATATTTCTTTACAATAGCTCAAATTTTGATCCGTTTCTAAGAAATTTTTACCAAATTGACTACTTTTGGTGATTTTCTCGCTAGCTAAATCTAGTTGATCATAAATGTTCCGTAGGAATTCATCAAGGTTTTTTGACGAAGCTATGATGTCATTTAATTTACGTTGTCTATCTAGGATGATTTTATTCAGTTCATTTAAACGATTTTTCGATTCTTTCACTTTAATGGACAAACAGCTTGAATCCTCTTTGCAATTCAGTAACTCAGCAATATCAACCATATTCTCTAGATAGCCATTGCAGTCCAAAAGAAATCTTTTAGCAAATTCACAATTATTTAAGTAATCAAACGCTTGATTCATATCTATCGATGCCAGCTGTGACTTCATAACATCAAGTTTCATAACTTTTTCACAAGATTCAGACAACAGCAGATAGTATGACTCAAAATCTTTAGACTTCTCAAGTTGCTCCTTGATTATTATAAGTCTTTTTTGACACGTACTCTCTAATTCATCTAATTTTCTGGATATCGGAGGTGTACTATTCGAAATTGACAGAACGTCACTATCTATACTACTCTCCGATAGACTGTCTATATTCTTTAAAATATCTGTAAAAGAAGTTCGTTGCACTCCTACAGACGTTAATAAGTCCTCGTTAGCTTTTAGCATTTTTTCCAGATCATCCGCACGCATTTTCATATCATCAGAGTGTATTATTTGTTGTTCTATTATGCCAATCTCATCGCAAATCGTTGATAGGCCTCCATTAATATATTGCACCAGCTCCCTACGATTCTTTATTTGTTCCATTCTATCTTGAATAGCAACTTTAATATCATCCATTCGTCCCTTTAATGTACAAAAAGTGTTTTGTGAAGGTCCTATGACTGATGAAAGGCCAAGATTACTTAATACTTCCCAATTAGAATCGAGTTTTGAGAACAAAGAATCACATTTCACGAGCTCATATTGAACCAAATTGCATTTATTAAGATAGTCCTCTTCGGCATAAAAGCTTAAACTTGCCACTTCAGTCTTAGTAATCTCAGAAATATTGGCATCATTAACACATTCAGTAAGGTGAATCTCATGATTCTTTAACTCCAACAATGATTGGTTACAAGTCCATAAATTTTCACGTTGATAAGTCAAAGTTGCTTCAAGATCTTTCAATTTTCCACGAGATTTTTTAATTTCGTTTTCCATTTGCGTTATATCTGACTCAAGAATGACAGTTTTCAGAGGATCAATGATCGTCTCTAAGGTTTGAATCAGAATCGATTTACCATCTAAAGTATTAAGTAAACTATCGACTTCGTCAATTGCTGCAACGACGTCTCCAGCTAAGGCGATATCCATCCTCAATTTTCTACTATCCTGATAAACCTCACTTAGAGAATTACTCAATAACAAAAGGGTACTTTCATAGTCGCCTTTCTGCTTAATACTAAATTCAAATTCCCTTCTCATTCTTTCTATCCTAGCTTTAACATCATCATATTCTTTACTTGCTTTATCTAAACGATCTTGTAATTCTTCGTTCGATTCAGTGTTCCTTAAGGCAATAAATTGTTTCACGCAATTTTTTAAGGCTATCAATGTATCTTCCTTGTCATTTGCTAAGTCATATAAATGTTCAAACATGGAAAGGCTTCCCGGTAATGCGTTAATATGGACTAGCTTATTTTCGTAATTGTTTAATTGCTCCACAATTCTAGAGGTAAGCTTACCAAGTGTCAGGAACAAATATTCGAATTCTTCGGCAAGCCTAAGCTTTTCTAACGAAGAATCTTCTAGTGTCGCATAAGTTTGCATTAATGATGCATGAAGTTCTTGAATAAGTTCAATCTGCGAATGTACCGCTTCTTTATCGGCTACTGAACACTGTTGTGATATAGTTCTACCAAGAGCGTCAAAATCTGCTATATCGACTAATTTATCGCTAATACAATCATACAACCCTTGCAATTTACTCCGGCTTTTTTGAATGGCCTCCGAAGTAAATCCGCTCTCGATACCTTTTAGGTCTTTCTGAAAATCTCTCAATTCGTTCATTAATACATCGTATTTTTGTTTAAATTTTTGGACATTCGTACGGAGGTCGCCGATTACTTTTTCTCTGATAGATAATTTCGATTGAAGTTTCTCGAAGCGATTCTGTAGTAATCTTATCTGATTATCAGCGTCCAAATCAATTTTGAAATCATTAAGAGCATCCGATGCAATCTTCAACTTGCTCAGTTCGTTACTTAAAGTCTGTTTATATTGTCCAGCATGGTATATATCATCATTAAAGTTAAGACAATTGAGATCAATGCATGCAAGATTGAGAGTCAATAAATTCGTACTTTCAATCTCTTCCAGAAGCTCTACAATTTTATCTCGAATAGAGTTAAACAGTTTTAAATCTGCCGCAGTTTTGGTTAAGTGATTCTGCTGCCAAAGAGCTTTTTTCTTAACCTCATTATATCGACTAGTTACATCCTTCATAGTTTCATGAACATTTATGGCATCGCTTTCGTTGCTTTCGTCAAGTCGCTTTCTGCCAGCTGCATTAAATCTATCTAATACGACTTGATAGCTATTAATTTCACTTAGTAATTGCTTACTAGTAAGTATTTCACGATCTGGATCACTGATAATTACAGGATTACTATCCTTCTCTTCTAATTGCTTTTCTTTCTCACATAGCCAACTTTGCATCTTATCGACTTCAGACCCAAAGTCTTGAGCTTGCCTCAACATATCAAGCATAACAGCTCTTTTACTCCCGACAGATGTCTTGAAATTTTCAATTTTTCCTACCAATTTATTAACTTTGACCTGATAAGGAGCCGTAACAGAATCTGTAACAACGGCTTGCAGATCTTTCATAACACTTAGTAAATCGGGTATTTTTTCTTCAACTGTCAAAATTTTGTCTTCGATATCCTAAGAATTAGAAATACGCGTGTACGATAAAGTGATATATAAAAGCGATCAACCAAAAATAACAGAGGCATTAATTACACTATTTAATAATCTTACCTTGCATTGATCTATCAATTGTGGTAAATTTTTGAATGTAAACTCACTATAATCGAAATTTATTATATACGAAGAGTCGATCTCGTCACAAGTGTTGACTAAATCTGAATATGACCACTTAAATTTTTGTATAACGATCAAACTTTGATTCAGAAAGTTACAACGATTGGAAATAATGATAGTTAACCGATCAAGTTCCTTCTCTGTATTATCAGTCAGTAACTGTAAGTCAGACAGGTATTCAGAAGAGCATTGTTTAGCCAGTTCTTCCATTTCCTGTGATACACGTTTCAAGTCAAACTTTTTCAATTTCAAGTTTTCAAGATTTTCCTATCCGATAGATAAAATTATTATTTAACAAGCAGCGAAAGGATTTAATACTTGGTTACTAACAATTGTTGAAATAAATTCTACTACTATTCAAAATAAAATTTTAATGTAAATTCCATTTGATATACTTACTTTATCATTATCGATTTCCGCATCCACGACATCAAGACTTATAATAATTAACCCTTTGCTAGTATAAATTTTCTCAGTATCTTCCAAAAATGATATAATGTCTTGTACCACACGATTTACACTATTCAATTGTTGAAATTGCTGATTCAGAATTTCTTTTCGACTTTTGACCTCGAGAAGTAATGAAGCATAGTCCTGTTCGAATATTTTAACTGATTTTATACGATCAAGAGGTAAATTACCCATGCCAGTAGCTTGCCAATGCTCTGTTGTATGTTGATAATCATTGTACAATTTTCCCATATTATCTGTAACACTTGCTAGTAGTAGCGTATCTTCCTCAAAATTTTTGATTCTTAAGTTGACCATTGGGGCCTTGATGATCTCCATAACTTTTATCTCTTCAATATATTGTAATAGCTTACGATAGGACAACAACAGCTCTTCAGTATTTCTAGTCCAGTCCAATTTATCACTTCGATACTGTTTAATCTTTTCGCAAATATCATTAAATCTACCAACATTATCATCAAACTCTTGCATGTTATTTGCAATTACCCCACGTAACACTGTATTAATATTATCGTAGCATCTCTGGCTTTCAGCCAAAATTAAAGAATTATCCGCAACCTCATTCGCTAGACTTGTTAGTTTTTCAATCTGTGATTGATCGTTAGCGTCAGTAGACGAATTAGAAACGGTATCAAGAGTATTTTCAGCGATATCCATCCATGAAATAAGCTTAATCATATTAAGTGAATAATCTTTGTATAAAGAAATAACACGACTGTATTTATTGTACTCGCTTTCTAAAGTTCTAATTGTATATTGGCGTCGTTCTTTCATTCCTTGTACCTTCGATTGAAGTCTGCTTCCAGAGAAGGAATCAATTTCAGTTAAAGTTTTGAGATGATGTTCACATTTATGCAAGGCGTCATTATCATGCTGCAAGGATATTTTGCATTTATTTATATCAGCTATCCACGATGATAAATCATTTACGTTATCAAACGTTGAACCATCGAGAAACATGTCCGCGCTATCTAAAACGGAAAAGATTTGCGTCGCTAATTCTTCAAATTCCATCAATGAGGAAGAATATCTCTGTAAATGTTCTAATTTATATGTGTAATTGCTCATAACTTTCTCATACTGCTCACTGAGGTTAAGAGCTCTTGCTTTAAATTTTTTGGAATCTTCGCATGGGTAATCTGCTACGAATTGATTTGCAAGATTGTCCACCAACTGGATTGTACTCCGTTTATCTTTATACTCTTGAACATGAGTTTGAATAGCTTTTTCCTGCTTCAATAATTCCGCTTGACTAATACCGAATCGGGTAAATTGAGAAATATATTCCCGATTCTTCAATAAATAATTTTCCATTGCTTTACAAGCCTTCTCAAACTGTTTCATTAACTCATATGCACCTTTCACTATTTCTTTCTGTTGTTGCAATTTAAGTTTAATATCATCAAAACGATCGATTGTTTCATGCATCTCAACACTCAGATCTGGAAGACTATCATTATCAGTCCAATAAGCCATCTGATTCTTAAGTCTTTTCACTATCTCTTCAGAAGAATGAACAAGGTTTTCTAAATCCTAAGGTACGTATTTAAAAATTATCAAAAAATAGAAAATTATGGTGTAGTGATAAATCAAAGTTAAAAAATTACGATATATTGCTGATAAGTAATACGAGTGGTAAAAATAGAATGTATTCGCTACCTTAATTTCTTGTAGTGCGTCATATAAAGCTGAGAACTTCAAATTATTGGATGCTAAAGAAAAAGCAGGGCTTTTTTCGATATCTTCACAAACTATTATTATTTTACCACGAAGGAAGGTAGTTTCATGTGCTAAGTTTTCATGCTTGGTAGTTTCATCCCTTTTATTAAAAAAGACTTTCTTCACGTTGCCATGCTTTCTCTTAATGGCATTAATCTGATGACTGATAAATGCAGCATCTTCATCTGTAACATCAGGAATAAGCGTTTCACCCAAATCAGTTACTTTTTGAATTTCAATCGCTTTTTCATCCATTTCCAACGATAAAGTCTGTATTAAAACCATATGAAATTACAACGTTAATCATTTATAAAAACCTACAGTCAAAAAATCAGGCGTATCTATTCAATTCAGATATTATTAGGCTTACGTCATCTATTTGTGATACTTCATGTTCCGATAACAAATTTTCTTTATCATTCAACCAGAGTAAAATATCTTCACAATCTCGTTCAAACCTTACTAATTGTCCATTAATAAGAGTTAACTTAAATATTTTATCCAATACAGCAGTCTTTGAACCATTTAGCTTTCGTTGAATGTTAGATTGCTTATCTTGAATGACTTTGATCGAATTTTTGGAGTAATATTCAAGAAAGAAGTCAATTGTGGCCTTGTAAACAGGTAATATCTTAGATAATATCTGATCAACGTCGCCCTCAGCAACCTACATCCGAAAGAAAATAGAAAATTGTTTGGTTAATCTTTATATATGTTCACTTTGCAAATCATAGAAAATATTTCAAGGACATTTCTTAAAATACTGATTAAAACCTGGAGAGATTCGATTCGTTTAGCAATGTCTTTCCTTTTAATATATCTCATATCTTCGTTTAGCAATTCTGATTTCTCCAATTTATTACAAGCCTTATAACAACTATTCCATTCCTCTTCAAGAAGTTGTAACTTCTTTCTAGCTTTTCCAAGTTGTTCTAAATCTCTGTTGATACGATCCAGAACTTTTATGCACCGCTTACATACTTTATCCCACTTGTCTTGTATCACAGCTGACTGCTTCACAGATAAAACTGCAATGGCATCTTGTTCATTTTGGATAATCTCGGTCAATTTATTTTGATATTGAAGGACATTAATTTTCAGTGACTGCAAGAAAATTAAAATTACAAAAATTTTAATATAACTTCTCAACTCTAGCTAGCTCTAAAGAAATATTACCTCATAATTGGATTCAACTCTATTCACATCTTCGAGGGTAGCATCGAAAAAAATTTGTTGAATTAAATAATTTTCAGCAACAGTAACCGTCGTTGAACACTCAAGAATAGACTTATTCATAGTTTCGTATCTTTTCAATGAATTTAGTAGGCATTGACGTCGGTAAAGCACTTTATCATTTAACTTTTTTACTCTATCAAGTATTGACGTCCCCGTCAATTCCGGATCAGTAAATTCTCCATGATCGTTGGCAACAGATACAAGTTTTCTTTCAATATCTATAGCAATATCAATCCTTTGCTCGACCTTATTAATGTACCTTAAAAAATCCTATATTAAAATAAATAAATAATATTATTGCAAGCGAAAGTTTGCAAATATTGAAAACGAAGACTGTCATAATTATGAATGTATCCTGCATCTTTCATAGGTGATTTCTATGATTAAAGCACTTACTAAACACACGCCGCTGTAAATACGCATATCTTCTGAAGATAATTCCTCTATTGAAAGCGTTATTGCAGCTGATTTGTCAATATTTTGACATGTAGTATTCAATTTCAAAAGTATACTTTGAAGTCTCATCGAATCCATTTTAGAACGCTCCTTTGTAACTTCATGTAGACTAGTACCAAGTTGTTCGTTAGACTCAGGTAGCAAATTTGGATCCAGTACAGGTTGATAATCCCCGCTGATCTTGGAGTCACGTTGTTGGAAGATATCTGTATTAGTTAATTCCTCTAGAGTACTAAATTCTTTTAAGAATGCACTATCAAGGGCAGTTTCTGGATTAACATTTTCAAGAGACTGACTTTCGTCCACAGGTAAAACTTCAATAATTTCTTCCGGAGGTTTAGCTAAACTACTGTCGTCTTCATTATTAAAACTAATACGATCATCATCGAAAAAATTTCCTACCATGGTAAGCTGTTCAACTGGAGCCACTGTCATTTCAATATTTTCGAGTATCTGCCGAGGAGGCTCGACAGCTATTTCTGCGCTATCTTCCTGTGCTACAGCATTTATTTCCTGTAATTGATCAATTTTCGTTTCTACCACTACTGAGTTATTCTCTTGGTATCTATCTGGCTCATCCATAAAAGTGTAAGTGGGGTCTACTTTTTCTGCTACTATCTCATCTATCTCAATTGCTATATCGTCATCGTCATCAACGTCAACTTCAGCCTGCTGCTCTAACATTTCAACCGTCTTATTAATGACCGTAATTAGTAGACCTTCATCAAGGACATTACTAACAACATTTCTCGAAATACTATCGCTGGATGTATTCTCTTCCGTTCGTTTTTCTCCGAGATCAATGATGTCCTCAGTAACTGGAGGCAATCTTGGGTGATGAAGCTATTTTACAAAGAATACACAAAACTAATGTAAGGATGCTAAATACGACCAAACCATACATGCAATCTTGCAGCTACCGTCAATGGCATGATTTGTCCTAATGCCATGCTCTTCTCTGATAGTATTCGGCCTTCAACTGTTATCTCCTTCTCCAAAGATAACCTACTAATAAAACTACTAAGAGAACGTTCAATTTCAATTGCATCATTACAAAGTCGCAAATAAATAACTTCTAGTTCAGAAAAATGCTGTCTAATGGCAGATTTTTCACTTTCGAAACATTCTTCTGTAGCTAGTCTACAGCAACTTGCCACATAAGTCATAATACGTTCACAATGATTAAGTTCTCTTTTAAAATCAGATACCATCTGTATAATATCGTCAACTTCAGTAATTATCTCATCCGTCTCTTCAGAAAAATCTAATTTTCGTTTTTTCTCATTTAACCAAATACCTAACATTTCTACGTTATTAAAAAAATCCTTTGATTTATTCAAAGTAGCTAAAAGTTGCTTTTCTTTCATTTGGATCTCCAAAACTACTACTGAATTTCTAGACTCTAAATTGGATATTTCGTCTGAAACGTCTCCAAATTTTGCATCTGCATATATTTTCTGTAGGTGATCTGCGAAATTGGTTAATACGGCAAACTTCGTTGGCAAATTATCACGAATCGTCTTTGTTCAAAAAAAATCAAGCATGAATAAGGACATATAAACAACGAGTAAAATCTACATAAGATTCAAAATCCACCGACCTGTAATATATGCAAGTGTTGTTGAATGAGATATGGCTTGACAAAGTAGTAAAATGGTAATTGTAAAATGAAATAAATATTAATTTCCAATGAGCGCAGGTTAGATATCATTGCTTTAAGCTTATTATAATCTTCCAGGTATCTCTCCAATGTTTTCCTTGTAGTTTCGCCCTTCGTAAATGCACTAGTTTGCATTTTACTTAATTTTGAAATTTGATTTTCTACCGAAGCCTTTACATTAATATACACATTAGAATCTGCTGACCACAATTTTACCAACACCTCATACAAAGAAACAGTTGATTCCGCAATACGCTTCATATATTCCGAATACTCCTCAAGTTCTTCAGGTAATAACTAGATAAGCAACATCAGAAAAGATTAATTAATAAATTATCGTACAGCGAATAATATATGATAATAATATATGATCCTGTAATTCAAATACGTACACGCAGAAAATTTAAAGTCTTCGTTACAGCAGCAGTACATAATATAGGTCCGCCAGTAATGGCAATTCTTTCCTCCACATTTTCAAGTAAGTTATTAGTTTTATTAAATAAATTCAATAGCACAATTGCACGCTCAGTAAATTCCATAATTTTTTGTTTCCGCTCGTAAATCAAACTTAGAACAGTTGTAAATCTTTTCATTAAGCCAATAATTAGATTGGTAAGAGTAGCATAAGTCACATCTTCTTTATGTGAGGATGAATCAACTTGAACTAAAGCAGATTCAGTCGCCTAAATAGAAACGTGCATATAGCAATGCATGAAATTCAATACACAAATTGCCATCACGGATGCAACAAAGTCACTATTATTTAAAATAACTACCTTCTCGTTAGAAAATTCACCGAGTAGCTGCAAAATAGTAAGTGACGAGTCACTTTGTAACCAACCAGTAAAATCTCGTAATTTATCATAAACATCCGGACAAACTTGGATAATCTCATCTAAGGATTCTTGATGTCCTCTTAACTTAAGACGAAGAGTCTCACAAGTCGAGCTAAATATGTCATTCCTATCTTGACTACATATAGCATCCCATTCATATGACAGTAACAAGGTGGAGGAAGCCTATCATATATATATAATCAATTGAAATCAAACTTAACGTGGAACATATCTTCAGCCCAATTACTTAACAAAACTAGCTAGTAATCGCTTTCAAACCTTGAGTCTCATAATACTTTCATAGAGAGGTGAATTAATCGAATTGATAATTCCGTCTAGCTGAGAAACATTATAATGCAAAAATGCATTTAAATAAAGAAACTTCTGGATATACCATTCACGATGTTCGACCGATTCTGTAGTTTCTGATTTTTCATAAAGGACAACAATATCGTTCAGCTGTTGATCAATTCTAGCATACATCTCCTCTACTATGGTTGCTCCATTTTCATCATCTCCGTTTTCATTATCAGGAAATGATCCTGAATATCCAGTTATAGTATCCAAAAAATTTTCTTGATCTTCCTCAAATTTCTTAAATGGTATGCAAAATAAATTAGTCTGTTTAAGATCTAATCGCAACCACAACGGTACAAAAGTAACGAAACAGAAAGTATACCTCAGCTAAATAAACAAATTCTTGTATTTTCTCTCTCAACTGTACAATATCATTCTTTTGTTGTTGAAGCCCATCATAAAATTCCTACCGGAATCGACAAATATTTATTAAATCTTTCCATACTGTTGCATTACTAAGCAAAATGCATTTAATTGCAGTATCATACTATAGAGATGTTTTTAATGATCTTGAAATTCGAACATAATGAATTACCTTACGAGTGATTACATGCTCCTGAATTCTAAATGAACTTCCTCCAAATTTAGTAACCTGATCAAGTTTCCGTTTCGCTATTGTAATCCACGCGCTTAATCGATCATAAACGTTATGTAAATCCTTCGCGACACCTACTCCTGCATCAAGGGTCTTTCTATGATAGTTACAAAATTTTTGTAAATTTTGCCATCGTTCCAATAGTTTATCAGCGTCACTTTTAATTTTAAAGGAAGCCATCAATTTGCTAGTTTGGCGTAACTGAGGTATCAGTTGTTGTGAACTACTGATAACGTTGTTGACGCGTTCCTGACAACCAGAAGCTTCTGTAAAGAAGGCCTACAAAAATATGCGCAAAAGTAAATAATTGTTTAATGATTATTTAGTATAAAAGAAGGATTCAATCACGCATCCAGAGGATGTACTAGTAAAAGTTACGTGCATTTTATCAAAGATAATTTTTATACCATATCACATACCGTAAAGTATTCACTTTGTTTTTTTATGTTTTCTAATCTTCCAGCCAGCCAGCGGTACCTTAAGCAGTGTCTTTCCAAAATTGATAAATATTCCGTAACTTCACAAACCTTCCACATAGTATCAACACATCTATTTTCTACAGGCGATAAGCTAGTTCTTGCGTAAGATATTAGCTGGTCGAACTCTTTTAAAAATTGAATACAAAGTTCAGTCATGTTTCTCATTTTATCTCTAATATCGGCTATTTGTCTTCTGATATAACGGGATCCGTGATCGCTTAAACGACTAAATGGAAAAGATTCCTGGAGCATACTTTCCACTACACAACGATAGCTTTCCACCTGCTCTGAAGACACCTAAATTTTGAAAAATTGGTTTAATAATATTCCTAATATACAGTACTACCTCATAAAAATCAATAGAAGCCATGTTATGTCTGAAATTAAATTACATTCATAATATTTATGAATTCGTATCCTCTATTGGCTATGCAATCCACATCAGTTTTTCGTCTAAATAATTCATTAAGTAATGCCTAAAAAATGGAACATAAAGTTATAACCAGACAACACAACTATAAGTTACTTCTCAACAAATCTCGTGATCACTCATTCAAGTTTTAATACCTGAATTTTTTCCCTCTTTAAAATCATTTCAAATACATTCGTTGAAGCTTCTATTTTTAATTCAGATAAAAAGCCTTGCGACTCACGAATCCAAGGTCTTATAGTTAAGATTAGCCCATTAAAATTCTCCAGTACCACAACCGCATTTTGTAAATATAACGTATGAAGTGCGGCTTGAGACAAAAGGTATGTATATTGACTGCTTAAGCAGCTCATATCAGCTTGAGATGACAGTGACGACTCCGACATATCAGATAAAACCTTATCCACTGCTGCACTAAATTCACCACTTAAGTTATATAGCTCTATTTCAAGGTACTTTATGTTCAGGAATATGTAACAAACATAAATACAACCTTAGCGCTACATTGTAATAAGAGCGGCTTGATGTATAACTAAAAGTGAAGAGGACTACTAATAACTGTGTATACCTTTTGATATCGAATCTCTTCAGAAATTGAGCCAGCATCATTTCCATGGCTTAAATTTCTGAGAAACAACTGATTATAGCGAATAATCGAATCCCTCAATAAATCTATCAAACTTTCATATCCATATTCGATGTCAAGACTATAATACGAAAGCACAAACGAAATATTTATTATGGATTACAGGCATAATTCAACATTTGGATTGGTATTCTTACCTTTCAATCCAACGCTGAGCAGTAGTATCTGCGCTCTTACACCCAGAACATAGTTCCATAACACTATAAATTTCAGCTGTACTAATATTATCTAAACTTTCATAATCAGCAGATCTTCCTTCAAACTTAGCTAAACGTTCGTACCGTCTCCTACATTCACAGGTACCACTATCACTTCCCTTAGTGACATATAGAGAGAAAGTAATATTAACTGTTATAATATCACGATTGATAATACTGTACTTATAGTAGGGCAAATCTTCATACTTTAGAAGCACTTGCGTGAATTCTTTCATTGATACTACTTGATCTAGCATCAAGTTTGTTTTGAGCTACACTTTTTTCAAGAGATGCAGTCAATATTTCAGAAGATTTCCAATTTCCAGTTTGCCATTGTTTTAGCCACATGGCTTCTACAATATTTAAGCTATCTTCTAGACTAGCTACTCTAGCAGATGATCGTCCTAGATCTTGCGATATCAACCTTCGTGAATCAGATATTACCGATGACACATATATTCTATATCTGATAGCATTTACAATAATATGCTGTAAAAATAATAAAATTAAGTATTATACAGCAGATATCACTTCATATCAAGAATAAAATTGTACCATTATCACGTAAGGAACTCAAGTAATCAACATTTCTTATTATACAGTATGCATAGGCTTACTTTCTCATGATAGCATTTTATAATACCAGATAAATTTTCAAATAATTTCGTATAGCTATGATTGCAACTTAATTTCTTATACATAGTTTTCCACAGCTGCAGTAAATACTCATATTTTCCGCGTAATCTAAACAAAATATTACATAAATAAAATTATTCCTATTCGTAAAAGAATTACCAGCTAATAACTGACTTCAAACAACAAATGCATGAAATAACCTTGAAGCAGATTCAATAGCTTCAGGACACTGACATTCAATAAGAAAGCACAACGATGGTACCCTTAATTCGAGCCTTTCTTGAGTCATAATCTACAATTGAGATAATATCTTCTAAGATTCTCTGCGTTGATATTATTGTTAATTCTTTTAAACTTACAGTCCATTTGGTATGATTAGATTTGTCTAGTAGTATATATTCATTATCATTCAGGATACCATTCTATTATGGAGATAAAATCATAGCTTATTAATACAAAATTAAATTAAAACGTACATAATTTTTATAGGACATAATTTTAGTACCTGACCATCATGATAACTACATATTGTACGAATTGGAATAGATAATTGTTCCTTAGAAGTTTTGCGGAAGTGTAATGGTAACACTTTCAGAGAGACATCACATAGACACTTAATGACAGATTGGTAAGACAGCAACTCTTCTCTCAGAATCTACAATAAAGATATGGAACAATCACATGGTCATCGAGTCCTACGTATAATCTAGGCAAAACAAAACTTTCAGCCTACTAACACTAAGCGTGTTACATAAGGATTTAATGCGATCGTCCTTAATTTCAGCAAATTTATCATTAAGTATGTTTATTCTCTCCGTAAGCCAATGATCAGCTTCACTACAATCTAGGAAAAACTTTCAAAATATATGTTTATAATATTAGCGGAAGTTTGACAAATTATTAATGCAATCTAAACTTACTTGCTGATATACATGTAAGTGATGAATGTGTTTGTCTAAGGCCGCAATAAACTCTGACATACGAATTGACTTAAATTCTAGACTTATTGCTTGTAGCTAAAGTTGATAGCGAAATAAACAATAAAATTTACATTCATACCTACATGTACTATTACATACAACATTTGTACTATGCACTTACATTTTGATAATTATAAATTGCTAAATCGATTCAAGAGTATATTTAATAGAGCACTTACCTCCAATACTTTAGAAGCAGAATGTTTATCTTTTATCAATTTACGTCCTATTTTTAAGTAAGTTGCAGTTCGTTTCTGATGCTCATGAAATTCGCTCTTTAAATCCTGATCATACACATAGAGTACATATATTAAAGTTTTATCATTATCATACCGAATATATTCAAAGTCGCGTCTTTATGTGTTAAGACAAGAACCTCTGAAAGGCGCTTATACCTTTTGATAATGCTGTAGAACATCGATATCTAAATCGGTTGCACTCCAATCTCTGCCTATCTCAATCTTTTCTTTTCGCTCCAACCAAGTAAGTTCATTTTGAATATTCCTTACAAAATCCAGCAATGATACCAAGCTCGTCATTCTTTTGGCTGACATATTCTATGATACAAAATTTTTAAATTTATCAATCACTTTCCTTTACAATATCCCAAATCCAGTTGATATACATTTACAAAAAATAATTAACACAGTAAGTAATAAAACGTACCATTACACGTTCATATAAGTTATTTAAGTCATGTATCAACGAGATAATATTTGGTTGCTGCCTAACTTCGGCCTTATTCTGAAAATTAAATTAACAACTGCATTTATCAAATAGATTTCCACAAAAAGATTATCTATATATTCTAAAGTAACCTCCAAGCTACACAAATATTTCACATCGGGACTACGTTCCAGTAATGCTATATGTAGAATTTGATGTTCGAGCACATAGTTTTGAATATCAATCCTATCTATGCCATACGACGCTGTTTCCAAAACAACCTAAAATGTTAATGATTAGGTTAGCTATGCTCAGTACGTTCCTGTATTCTTTACGCATATTCTATTACCTTCTTCTTGCTAAGCCAGTTATGGATCTCTTGAATTGAATGCAACGAATCTGAAAAATTACCCGATTCTGCTTGCTTACGAAAACTTTCAACCATTCGTTGTTGACGTTCGATATGATGGATATACAAAGTCAATACAAGAATTCGAAGACCCTGCCACTGACTATAGGCTGATTCAACCCTGAGTCGGATAAAATTCGTTTAGACTTCAAAAAAATTATTGATTTAACATGTAAAGGCATTATAATAATATTTACGTGGTCTGCAATAGCGTAGATTCACTATAATCTTGAGTATTTAAATGTTTAGTTTCCATTCTCATACGCTGAATTCGGCTTTCAAATATCTGTTTATATATTTAATATAAATTAATTTATCTTAATAAAACATTATCTGTGAATAAGTACGTATTATGCAGAATTGATTTACTACATCTACAAGTAGTACAACATTCTTGTTATGATTGCATATCATAAATACATAATTCATCCATTATTACGGTCATTACAACAACATCAATAAACTTGTAAACAGAAGTGTATGGGTATTATAATATTGTAATACAAAAATTATACCAATAGAGAGGCATTTAACTCTTTGCAATGCTTCTGAACTGATTCACAGTCCATGGATGGCCATAATTGCTTCTCCTAATTTAAAAAACAAATTAGTTCGTTACATTTTGACATCAATAAAAAAAATTTTTTCTATTATATATTTAACATTACTTCATCCAAGCGTTCTTCTACTTCTTTAAGAGATACTTCCATTAACGACAGCTATATAGTTTATCGCATCGACAATATTAATTATTAAATCAATACAATTGTTCAGTTGAAGTAAATTCATTGAGTCAATCACCCCTTACCTCTGTTTCAACCTTTTCGTGTAACTGTTTGAGCTTAGTTAATCTAAAATAAAAAAATTTCATCAATCACGCAAGTGTTATTAGTTTACTAGATAACTTATAATAGGGCCATGGTAATACATCTTTTTAAAAAAACAACTATAAAAGGTACTTGTCATATTTCGCTTTCAACTTTTTCTCTGTCACTTCTTGTAATTTTTTTAAGGTACTATATTTCTGAAATTTTGAAAGAATTACCGATTATTATTCCTCTCATCAACTATTGATTAAAAAAATATAGCTATTCATGGTTTCATCAACCTTTTTGACACGTCTAATTGACAACTCATTTTCGATCGCGCTATCACTTGACGATTGTGTATTCTATAGCGAAATATTTAGTAAACATTCACATGTACATCAAACTGGCTAACATTAAAATTAATACACAGTATCAATTAAACTTAGATATAAACAAGTTTACAACGGCAAGGGTCTAAAAAATGAAAAATTGATTTAGTAAATGTATACCTCCAACTCTATATAAGCTTGAACAACTGAACGCATCATCTGTTCAATCGCAGCAATATCTTCAGTAAAGCATTTATCAAACTCAACAATTACTGGCTGCAAAATTTAACAAAAAGTAAAATTGATATCGCAGTTTGCCTCAATACTAGTAACAGCAATGAACACAATTACTGTGTACTTACCTCCAACTCGATCAATGAGTTTGGTAAATACAAACTTTGATACTTTGAGATCAATCGATCTAGCCATAAAATAATATCATGGGCTAGTTTCTTGTAATTATCTACCTTTATTTTTAATCCCTTTATGCAACGAAAGGTTAATCCATAGAAAATTAAAATCATAAAATAAAAATTTCTATATAATATCACTACAAATGTGCTATCTGGCTACTTAAAAATTCTTCTCATCGTATGCATATAGCAACTTATATTACCATAGACTTTTCATTTTCATATAACGATGTCGATCGCAAAACGTTCGTAATGAAGGATATATACAATAATATGCATTTATCATCAGGTTTACTATTGCATATATCTAAAAGATAACGTATAACATTTAAAAGGCAATCATGTCTTAGTGTAAATATCTTTCATCATAAATTATATTACAGGTATATATAAACTAATTAAATTGCTTATAAGATCATGAAGAGTGGTATAACAATTGAATACCTTTAGCTTTCAACAGTTGTGGTATATAAAATACTCTTTCAATAGCATCCATAGCAAATTGAACAATATCTACAGGTCTAAGTTGCTTCAAATTGCTGAAATCTACTGCATTAGGCCTGTTAAAAACCGTTATTTGAGGAATACGTACTAAAATAATGCCAAAAACTATAGCAATAAAATACTATCAGTAGTCTTACCTAAATCCGTGCACTATGGCCGCTAACGCATGACCACTTCTCCAGCTACAATTAAAATCTACTATATCAATCCCAGGATATCTATTTATTTCACACGTCAGATGATAAAATAAAAACTTTACAATACGCCCGAGAAATTGCAATACGGGTATTATTACTTCAATTAATATAAAATTTTCTCAAAGCCACAGATAATACAATATTGAATTTACCCTTCCGTAGCTTTCCTGCACCATAATAAAATAGCTTTCTGAGCAGAATAGATATTCTTAATATGCGAAGCAGCTGGAAATGAACATATCTGTAAATATTTAAAAAAGAAGTATTAATGAATTAAAGCATATAAGAAACTTGTTAATTTCATCGTGCTTGTTAATTGACTCAGTAAATCACATACAGAAATAATTTCTGAAATATTATTATAATACCGAAATTGGACCCTATCTAAAATGTCGTATATTTAGGATTTAAACGAGTTTATAAAATTTAAAACGCAATTTTTAGAGTACTTACGTGAAAATGGGTAATAAGTAACCATATTAATGACAACATATGCTCAATATTTCCATTTTCGATTTCATCCACGCTGATTCCACTAATATCAAACTATAAGTCACGAATAAATACGAGCATAACGAAATTATGATAACTTAAACTCTGGCTAAATTACAAGTCATTTCCTATTGTACTTACTTCCTTCCGATGAAGAAAATTTAAGCAAGCAACTAGTCGATTTGCTGTTGCATACCTATCGTTACTATCACTCGTAATCTATTAACAGATCATATCACAAATGAAATTGTCTAAGAAACAAGCTATTCTTGACTCAGTTAGTTTGACATAACTGCTATACTTTAGTCAAAGTATTATACCATATATTTAGTAGCTTACAATATCATCTTCGAAAAGAACTTGCAACAATGAAACCAAACTTGTACCATCGGTAAACAAGTCCTCTAGCCTATCTACCTTTTTGGAGACCTTCATTTCAAGATACAACGTATTCTTTGTGTTAATAATTACAGTATACAGTTACCTACCACTTAGAATGATGTAATTTAGCTTCTTCGAATAAAAAGTGAAACCTACTAGTACGTATAAGTAGTGCCTCTACAGTTCACTACTCGTAAAACAGCAACGCAAGTTAATCTTTTTTAAGAAAAAATTTTTTGACAGAGCTAACTAATAAACCTTTTCTTCAAAAATAATATCATTTTTACGATAATAGCCGCATCCTAATTATCAAATATCGTATCCAACATCAATCAATGACTGTTAATGAGTGCACGTAGGCACCAATTCTATCCATTGAGTTCCATAGCTACGCTAAAAGAATTGATATCTACAAAACAGTAGTACTACAGCGAAATCGATTAAAGATATACCGTACGTCTATTGGGTATCTTTCAAACTGCTAATTATCACATAATAAAATGAAGTACTCACATTTCTTAAATGAAAGTTAATCCAATTAGTAAATACCCTCCTTCTTACACTAATGATTTGGCCACTTTCTATAATTATAAATATACAAACCATATGCTATTAATTAATATGGAATATTCTCATATTTCTTTTGAGGTTATCTCTTAAATACATCTCATAGACGCGATGAGATCGTACGACCATTCAAAAAAGGTATACATTACATAATGAAATATTTCTAGCCATGCAGTAAATTCACAACGCTATACCTTGACTAACATGTATCTACGCCGTACACGCTTCAATAAAATAAGTCATTCATTAGAGCGCATTATTTGCTATATCTTTTCCGATATATATGTATATTATTTAATTTAGCGGTATAAGTATACCTGCAATGCATGCTTAAAGTACAATACCCCTTACAGTTTTACATCAACATTGTAACCCTACAAAATTATTCAGTGTAGTATTCGTATAGTGCCATTACCATTATAATGACTATCATGACCGATTGATTTAAAAAATATATGACGGGTGTAGCATACGTAGATTTGTAAGTCATTTCGAAATATTTTACAGAAGAATCTATAAGAAAACTATCTCTGATTATGAGTGATTGTACAATCAAATAGCAAGAATAGCAGTAACAATTACTAATTCTATTGATAGCAGTAATGTAGTAAAGTTCCGCAAGCACAAATCAATTGTTACTTCTTTCTGCCGTTCTTCATGATAGCTTCTTTCATTTATCATAGTAATATGAAACCGCAATATTGGCATTAGCAACGACAACAGGTCAACTTTAACGTAAATTTTCAAAGGTAAGTAAACTATCAAAACTCCTTTGCAAGCATTATCTCAACTACATACTGTATATACTATGTAGTGCAGTTTTATAGTACTATAGCTCTTCGGACAGGCAGTAGGTAAAATCAAAATATGATTTAATATACTTTTCACGCTATGGACACCTTCATGATAACAGAAATTTATGACTTTTTTCTAAGAAAATTAAGCTGTCCCTAAAGATGATTGCTGACCAAGTATTAAATATTTGCATCCAGGACTTGTTTGCCTGAAAACAGTGCCGAACTAGCGCATATTTCGACCTATCAAGGAAAGTATAAAGACTACGCGTACGGTATATTTATATCATGGACTACTAAATTCACCGGTGAATTGTAGTCCTTGAGTTGTATACTATAAAATTTACAAAACAATTTGCTAATTTTAGTTTCAATGGACAATTCTCGACCACAGAGTTGAACTGGTTGATATACTTTACGAGTACAGTGTATAGTGTACACGTATGTGATACGAATACTCGCAGATTAATCTGATTACATATAGTAAGTAGTTCTATTGTTAAACTATGTACTAACTACTGTAGTGTTGGCAATCAAATATTCCCCAAGGTACTTCAATTAATGTAAGCTACAGTATTCAGAGTAATAAAAAAGCGTAATTTTTTCACTTTTAGGAGAATTAAAGCCTTGCATGGTAATTTACGAACTGATCAGCTATATAATTACTAATTCTACGGCCTGTATACAGTATTCTGATTAAACTAAAAGCAGAAATGCCCCGAGTCAAGGACTTCACTGATTTGAAAGAAAAAATTAAGGATAACCCATTGTACAATATCTTGAAATCCCATCTTATAACTACTGAACGTTATCGCATTGACATGAATCACCATAACATTTGTGGTTACGTAAATACATTATTTAAACACATAATCATGATTTTTCTTTATAAATCTATAGCAAATCAACGGCGTCAATTGCATAGCAGACGCTACGTCTTTTGCTAGTACCAAATGACGTTAGACTGAGACCAATTATAAATTATAACTATAATTATCAACGTGACGATTCATTAATCAAGCATATCATTTCGACTTTGCTAATTCACAGATCAACGTTAATGCATGACTAACGGTAAGAATAATGCCTAACCACTATAAAATTGTATAATTAAGTTATTACAAGAATGTTAATATACCTGAGGCGTTAGCCATTGCTCTTAATATACTTTTCTGAGCTAATTAATTAATCGATAAATTGAAGATCGTTTATCCGCTTCTTTCCTAGAACGAAATTGATAGAAATCTATTAAAATGTCGTTACCCCCCAAAAAAATTTCGAATTGGATTTTGATACGACAAGGGACACGAGTTAGTAAAATAAGCTTCAATAAATGGAGAATAATCCTTAAGAAAACAAACACTTCATTACAGAAATAGAAATGATGTAAAAATCAATCAATGCACACTTCCAATAGTACTGAAAGATAATCCAAAGTACAGTACTGTATGCTATTAATTAATTATACTGTATATATATATAAGGAGTTCAATTTGATGAAACATCTAAATGTTAATAGACATATTTCATGCAAATGATATTTCCGTAAGCCGCGATCGCTCGTTCATCCACTTGGTACTGTATTAAAGTAGAAAGGTCGAGAAAGCAGCGGCATTTCTGTAAACAACAACTACCGTAGAGAAAACAAAAGCCTCCCTCTAAGTTTTCATGATCATGTAACTCAATGAACGCTTGTGTAAAGAACGGAGGTGGCTATTGTAGATCAACGACGCTTGCAAATGCTTTGATACAGTGATCATATTAAAGGTTAGTGAATCTGCTTTTCTTTATTCTCCTAATCATACAAAAAATTTTGCTGCATTATCAAGTGTACACTGTACAGTACAGTAATGCGATCGATGGTTAAAGCCTGCAGAATCATTTTACTCGCTCAGGCAACATGCTGTGCAAAACAGATGTGTTTGTATGCATTGGCCCTTTCTTGACATTCATAGTGAATCAACTCTACGTTGACATCTTCAAAGTACGTGTAGATTAATCAATTCATTACACCCATCTCTATCTGATGTCTACATTGTACGAGTATATAGAAATGTAGGTGAACTTGACTCAATTTACAGGAAGACTTGAGTAAGCCATCGCGCCATCAACCTATCACTAGGAAATTTCTACACGATGGCCTCACGTTTTAACTGATATATACATACATTATACAGTATACTGTCCTATTATGATTTCTCGTCTACGTGTATTCATGTACAAGCATTGTAGAATAGTTTACTAATTGATGGACATTTTCAAGTAATTACAATAGTCCACGATGTTCACATTTGCTTTCCAATTCTGGCGATATCGTGTGCAAGCACTGTTCACATCTAGCAGTAAGCTCATCATCAGCCTAATATACTGTACAGTGTACATACAGTAAGGGAAATTTTTAAGCGACTACACCTGTCTATGATAGTATGATGCCTCTGTACTTTTAATTTCTTTACTATTTACTATACATTGAGTAATAACCCTTGGTATCCAGTAGTTTATCACCAGCGTAGTATACGATAGTAAAGTAGCGTCTAGCCATGAGGTTGAATACTAATTTACTTCCTACACTATCAATATTCATACAAAAAGCATGATTAAGGTAATAAACTACCAACCTTCAGTAAAAGCATGGGACCCATTCAATCCTATTATCAATCCTAATATTAGGATTTCGTAGTAGGATGGAATAGGCTATACAGTACAGTACAGTATACCAAAAGCGAACAACGCCATGTGTCAAGCGTTACTTGCATTTTTTACAACAATTATTACTATCTCTAGCGATTCTGATAGCGATAAATTAATTATCCGATCGTCTTCATGACAATCCTATCCTACTTTGTACCTTACCAAATGGAGCAGTGGCAGTCTATGATCGCCTACCGGTAAATAAGCAATCGTTATAAATGATTGGATTGATGTGTATTTCCTAGGCCAAGTCCAGCACCACGAGCCAAACTAGACGTCAAATGAGTGGAACACGTTCTACAATCTACAGTACTTTGGAGTAGACCGTTAGCAGGATGAATCCAATTTTTTTTTCCTTTATCTTCTAAATGGCGATTGTTAATTTATTGAAACAAGTCAAAAAAAAATATCTTGTGATATTGTAGAAGGCTAACAGTAATCTGTTTAACGGGAAAATTCAATTTACTAATTTGATTGAAATCAGAATGAAAATGATCATCAATTAAAATGCTACGCCGCTTTCGCTGAGCTGATAACAAATCAGTACAGTCACAGTACTGTACTGTACTAATAAATCAATCAATTATAACGAACGAACAAGTCAATCTTTGTACATGTACGTTGTTTGTTGTACAGCACTCCCGGTATAGAGTACTGTAAACTGACTACGGTCTATCGTACCTTAAGCTACAGTACTTCTTGATAGCGTGACCGTTAATAAAGCAGCGGCGTCTTGATGATCATTGTACTGTACAGTGTACAGTGAGTGTACTGTACAGTACACTGTACACTATACTGTATGCAGTACATACTGTACAGTGTACTGTACATGTGTAAGATTACATGATTGATAAACATTGCAAATGATACCGTTAACCCCTCTAGGCTGCAGCCTATAGGCAGATACAGTACTGTACGCTAGCGGTACATTGCGGTACAGTTCTGTACTTAATTATTGGCATCTCATCCAGGAACGCTCAAAACTTCGCGCATGCTTGATTTTAGGACATTATTGATGCACTGCATGCTGTGTATACCGTACTGTATGTGTTCGGTAGACCTAAACATTTCCCTCGAGAAATGAAATGACTGGATCTAGAGTCCGATTTTATTTCTTAATTGATTGACTGGCCAAACTCGTTTCACGGATAACGCGATTTTAAGTGAATAAGCATTAATAAGATTTGATTTTGCGTGACAGACGGAACGGTGATCGGATAATTAGATATCAAACCAAACTACCGTACACTGTACAGTACAGTAATAGCTACAGTATAATACATACAGTACAGTAGAAGAACAGTAATAATGATTTACTGTACAGTACAGTACAGTACTGTACTGTACTGTAGAATAGAATTAATAAAATTTGATTTTGGGTGCCAGACGGAAGCGTGGTCGGATAATTAGACATCAAACCAAACTACAGTACAGTAAACAGCAGTGTGCTGTAGTGTACTGTACTGTACAGTGTACTGGAAGACAATAATGACATAGTGTACAGTATACGCATACGCGTATGGGCAACAGCAATAATGTTGTTCAGCCTAATAAGCATTAAAATTTGATTCAGGGTGGCAGACGGAAGGGTGGTCGGATAATTAGATATCAAAACAAACTACAGTACAGTACTGTACAGTAACCAGCACTGTACTCTTATCTAAGGGTCTCTAGTAAACAGCATATACTGTTTTTCTAAGATAATAGCTATACTGTACTGTATACTGGAAGACATAATTATTAAATCTTCGAATCATATGGTACTTGCTGCACAATACTTGTAGCACAACTGTAATAAATTAGGCACAAAAACTAATACAAACGATAATAATTAAATTCTGACCTACTGTAGTAAAAATCTCCTTTTCACAGGCCTTACTTTCGAGATAATGATATGAAAACACATTTGCAAATGAGCTCAATTCATTATTCATCTCGCCAAGATATTGCCTGAATACCGTATAGTATCATATCAAAAATCAATAAAACGGTCTATTAGAGCTGTCCAGAATACTCTACTGCCCACGTAGACTGCAGAAACTTCTAAAACAGAGAAACCGATAGAGGGTTATTAGCAGCTGTACGAAAATGTCGAGGCCTATTTCATCCGATCAGCGCATGTACATTGTAGTGAACAGTATCATTTACTTTTTCCTACATTATTCTATGGACCTTTAGGTTTTTTTCTAGTAGTCCACAGTCTATGGTAAAACCATAGCTATATAGTAGAAATCCTGAATCATAACTACATACACGCATCAACCACAGTAAACCAACAGCGAGGGCTGCGATTCAATTGCGCCAATTTAAACATCTTAAAACACATGTTTATTTCATATTATAAACGGCAAGGTATCTAATTAATAGAAATTTATCCCCAGATTATACAAAACAGGATTAGAAAACACCCTGTAGTAATTCCTGAGTTATAGCTCTAGCGTAGATTCTTAGTATTCGAAATAAAAGGACAAAGTCCTGCGTCCCAAATATAGTGTCCGATAGAGCAAATCCTAAGGTGGAAGGAATAAACCCACGACCATATTCTACCATCCAAGTATTCGGACTCCATTGTACTGCAGTGACTTCACCTATCTCATGTATAACTGTTGTCCCGGGACGATGAACATTGCTGAACGTCGTACCTTCCTTCCATTGACGAAATGATCCGCTCAGAATAGTATCGGATATCGTAGCCCAATAACGACCTGCAAAGACAGAAAAAATTAATGTGCTGACCGGTAATTTTACAATATTGTCATTACAACTTCTTTATATCGGCTAACATTCAATCAATCATAAATCTATCCAGTGTCTCAGTGTGCCTTATAGCTACCACTGTATGACAAAATTTAAAAACTAACGCATAACATTAGCCCTAGTTAATGGAATATACAGTACCAGAATGTCCAGATGTATCAATTGCAGTTCCAAACACCAACACATATTCAGTGATGGATGCATGCAGTAAGTAAAATGATCCCATCCAACCACCACAATTAATAAATATCCATTCAGATTCTTCTAAAATATGGCGGGGATAACGAATTTTTAGCTCTGCTGTTACGTTAGCCAATGCATCATCGATTGGCATGCCTGCGATTACAATAAGGAAATGATACATTAATTAGTTATTAGGATAGAGGACATTGGGCGGCCATACCGTAGATCGTAAGAATAGGATTAACTGGTTACTCATTGTCAATTCTCTATTATAGTGTAACGATGAACTTATCCATAGCTATATTAAACGTGAGTACTAACAATATAGTACGCGTAGTTATTGCAGTCAATAAAACTGATTACGGTCATAAAATAATTGTAGTATCGGTTGTTTTGTCTTTGCTACGTAAATAATACCGTATAAAACGAACAATTAAGTTAATAACTAGTCACAAGCATACAAGCTCGTACTAAAAATTAATCCACTATATTATACGTCTACTGCTGTAGTTGATCATTACGTGGTTATTCACAACCTACAACGTATACATAAAATATTCAGTAAGCTAATCTTGTCTCGCGGAATTTACTTTTATGTCTGTCAAGACTACACGAAAGCAATATTGAATTCATTCAGAAGTTATACTGATTAGAATACTCGATAATATTATACGAGTACATACAGTACAATAATCAGAGTAAAATCATATGCATATGATATACATAGTGCGAAGGGACAGAGGTAATTAAATCTATAATGTAAAGTAAAAAAGTGCAAATAATTACATTATATTATATAACATAATAATTATAAATAATAATCATAGTACGCGAAATATGATGAGCAAAGATTGGGCAGGTTTAGTGCAGCAGGTCATACATTAGTACAGTAGCTGCATATGCGTATGTAGGTACCTACGGCTTTCTTAGCGACTTCCGCTATTTCATCATGGCTAAAGAGATAGCTTTTGTTATCAAGCCATCTTTGCGTAATGATTGCTATTGCTGCGATGGAAATAACTACTAAAAGACTTCCTTTTATAAGACCAGCCATGATGAACCTTCACTTGGCACAATTAAACCTAGTAGATTAAAACATTTTCAGCGATCGACCGGCACCAGCTTCGCAAGCTAAGACCTTCTTGATACGGACAGCATTACACAATGGTGCAGTTGTACACTGTACTGTACAGTATGATGATAGAGGCGGAAAGAAAGAAAAACGTACAGTACAGTACTACAATACGTACAGTACAGTATTGCACTGTACACTGTACTGCACCGTACAATACGATACTACTGTATTGTGATCTCTTGTAGCTGTACTGTGTATAATACAGTACGGTACTATGAGTCTACTGTATGACCGTGTTACAACTTACTCGAGCCTACGGCGCTAGTTATCCACTAGGCACAGTGGAGGATTGGACACATGGCGGATTACAAGATGAGCAGGGCTGAAATTGATGTCCCCATCAAGAAAGTCTCGATAGATGGCCAAGTAAGTCTTTATCATACCATAGCACGTACTTCTCGATTGTGAGGAAGTTGAGAATGAACTATATTCTCAATTTGTGATGGACCCGTAATTAAAGTAAATCAAGTCTTCAACTCCTTAATCCTAAAACGATCCAGTAATTAGTACTCGCTCAACAGCTTCTATACTCTTATTGAAATTTCAATTGTACATGAATATTTTCATGTACTTCTTTCTAGTATATATCGACTCCTTTCACAGAAAAATTTTAACTTTTTATCTTCGATAACTTGGAATACAAAAATAGAAACAATACAATTTTAGTACTCTGCTCCAAGTGGTTAATTAGGAAAAATTATCGTAACCGATCATACACGTAAACTGGATGCGCATACTTTACCGTACCATGATCACTATCAGATGAAGCAAGAGAATAATTAACTACCCTTTACTTGGTGCATCAAATATAACCAATATGTATATATCAATGTACAAATAGAAAGCGTACTTCCATCTTTTTTCCTTTCTCATTGCTGAGTCGATCTATTCTGTGTGTCAATGACGTACTGGTGAGTGTTATAGTGTAGTAGACTTCGGATCAACTTGACCCGAGAATTCTTCTAATAAAGTATGCTATCACCTATAGTGCGAATACTCGATACATCTTGTGTCGTAGTTCTATTGAGTGCTGTATTTCTAAAACATGAAACACTATTCTTAAATTTTACACTAAATTGACCAACGGTCAATATCATTGTGTCATCGATGACAAATCTTAACTGTCATTACAGTAATCCTCTATTGAATGTATTGCAAAATACGTATATTGAAGCACAACTCACTTCGATTATTTGTAGTGTTAATTATTAATCCGTATTACCAATAGGTAATCTTACAAATTATCAGACACTGCCAGAGTGAGCGAGATAGCACTGATTTGGCACAAGGTGTCTTGCTTGGCATGCTGGTCGATAATTGTACAGAAGTCACCTACTGTTTTCCATTCCCGGAATTTACCGAAGCAGATACTGATAACGGTAAGAGAATATATCAATAGAAAATAAAATTGATGGTACTATGTAGTTAACTTACCATGATGTTCTTATTCTATATCCCTATAGACATTGAAATGTATCAACTGGATATGATGAAGTATTTACGATCTATAAATATGGATCACATGCAAGTCGGATGGTACAGAGCTAGTCCTTTCGATTTAAATGTCATCAAAGACATGTTGGACTCCCAATATACGTACCAAAAACAAATCCATGAATCTGTTGGTCTACTATTCGGTACAAAATCCCTACTATGATCGTTTGTTTGATTGTTTTATTAGTAACGATAATAATCCAACATATTGTATTGTACAGTACATGCCCAATGTAATTCGGTTATAGCAATGGAGTAATAATCCTATCCTTTCAATTGACTATGGTTTATCCTCACTATTAAAATGTTCATAGATCCAATTAAAGCAGCTCAAGGTAACTTATCCATGAAAGCTTATAGATTATCTTCCAAAGTCATGGAAATGTACGGTCAAGGAAGTACCGAATTTACCGTAAACAGGTGAATTTGATGATATCAGTTAAGGCAGGAAAGTACCATCGCTATTTGTAACATCCACACTTTATAAATTTACATAGTATATTAGCAGCTGGGCTGAGTTACGAAAATATATTTGAGGAAATTCCTGTAGAAATTCGAAACTCTAGCTTGTGCAACGTGTATTTGGCGCAACTAAAACTGAATCACTCGTCAGCACCCACAAGCTACTTGACTCTAGGAACAGAGTACGTAAAATACGTAATATTGTCATAGACATGGTATATATATTGATCATTCAATAATATTCTTTACTGATATCATCCTTTGTAGCTCACATTTGGAAAAGTCCCTACGATTGCTTTCGGAAAGCCTAGACGAATTACATCAAGAAGCTGGAAAATTATCAGTATACCATAAGACACTAAGGATGCACCATCAAAAGCAGCAGTCTTTACTGAAAAAGGTGAATTAATAATACTACTGATTACAGTTGCTTTCTGAGATCTTATATTGACTATTTTCAAATTTCCTAGCGAGGAGATAATGCAAAGGCACGTGATGATGACGACTCAAAACAGAATCGACCCCCTCCAGCTCCTTATCGACTAGATAATCTTTTGGTTGCCAACCAAACGAATAAATTTTGCCAAGAATTGAATCAGTATGTTTCACAGAGCTTCAGCAAACTATTTCTAGCAGAAGCTCTTGAAAATAATGAAAGTTAGGCTAAAAAACGTCCTTCAACATAATACCACACTATGTGTTATATATATATATATATACTATCGTAGTTGTTTATCAATAAAAACCTATTCCAAGTAAAATGTATCATGCGGTATTTTATGTTGTTGCTAAAAATAATTAAGCGTCGAAAATAGTTAATTCGGGGATAACTATCTAAACAGCGATTAGGTAATGACATTTTAGTTAAGTTGATATCAGTATCAGCTACAAGTCACTCTTTTCGAACTTGAGATAATCATTTAATAGGCATACAAGAAATTTTTAAAAGCATAGGATTACCACAATCTGCATCTTTATTTTCTGGATGAATGGGATACTACCATCCAATATAAATAAATATTAAATTTACTATAAATTTAAAAAGTGTACTGCTGTGTACTTCGATACCTGTAACATCAGGAACAATCCTAACGCCATAACGTATATTCTTATACACACAAAACTCTAGATCGCTAATTTTTGAAATGATTATAATATACACGAAATATATTTATTGAGAACTTTGACTAGAAACCAACACATTAGTTAGATATCTATCGGCAACAACAAGAATAATTATCAAGTTTGTAGTTGTCGCACCACTTAAAGATTTTATCATTCTTAGCCTCCGTAATTGACGGCAAACTGTGGGTATATCCTGACATTTTTGCACATAAGATTTAATAATTTTAAAAATGAATGAAAAGCCTATTACTTGACTTATTTTTCTCAAAAACTCCATTCAATAGAATGAAGGAAACCTACGGGCGAAAGATTGCCAAACTATAAAAGATTTCACGGTCAATAAGCTTGATTCTCATTTATTTTGATCGTCAGCCTGATAAATATATATATGATACAGTAAAGCATTAATATCTAAAATTTAATAACCTTTCCCAACTCATGACAGCAATCTAAGGGCTTATACTAAAATAACATTACTCACCACCAATTTCAGCGGTTTAATTGGAAATAGTTCATACTTGAGATATCGCATCAAATATCAGATTTAATTTTATTAGACTGGAGTGCATTTCTTTTATGAATGAAAGATCATATCATAAAAAGTATTTGCAGGACAGCTTACCAAAAATTAAATAGTAAACGTATAATCAAGTAGGTAAATAATAACAGCTACACATATACTCTCATCATACTAATGATAAAATAAAAATTACATAGAAATGTAGAGCATAGCTGGAATAGATTATTAAGCAATAAGTGAGGATATAAAAATGGTTGTTACGCAGCAAATATTAAGTGTAGAACGACTCCATAAATAAATATGTATAGGAAGAGTATAAGATAAATATATTAACACGAATTAAGAGAATAGTCTCGCGCCTAGAGTAAAATTAGGTTATCCATTTAATGTAGAGCCATTGGCTGAAGAATAGGTCACGACTATGAGAGGGGATACCTGGATGGACGAGCGAATCTCATACTGAAGCTTAGAGTCGTGTCTACGAAAATAGTACAGTTAGACTAGCTATCGGACTTACTGCTGTACTTAAAAAGTATTCTAAATTTTTTACATTGTAATAAACTGATTTTAACCTATACACTTCTTGGCCTTCTTATAGTTATCGGTAATTACCAAAAAGTGGAAGTATAGTTTGGAATTAGCTTGTTACAATAAAGTAATTGCGATAACTTATTACCTAACTACGTTATCTTCTTCAGTTTATTCAGGAAGATTTTATGCTGTATTTTACTAAGAGTATCTTTACTAGTAAGTAAATATCTATCTAGGACTCGGTTTTACTCTACCGTATGCAAACCGAAATAGGTAAAATTTATTAAATCGGCGATAAAGAAACTATTCTATCATTCGCATCCAAATTTGTCTTAGAAAATATAATTCGAAGCAATTTCTAAACAGTATTTCGCTTGAAAATTTTTTAAAGCGATATAAATAGGACTTCATTACATTACTTTAAAATCAATCTCAAAAGCAGTACTACTGCACTTACCATTTAATCACGTATTCTTATCATGCTCTATCTATCACAATTTGGTTAAAATCTTAAAGTAGCCTGGCCCATGTTTCAAAAGCATCCGATGATTAAAGTTCTCTATAAAATTATTCCTGAGTACAATAGTTCATGCATAGATGACTATTAAACTTTATTCCCTGCGTCAAAATTAGCATAAGTATATTGACGGCTAACACTATGAAAGGGGTTGCTTACTATATTATAGCAGATTTAAGCTATTGGTCATCAGTGTAATTAAATTATTCAATTTTTTAGCTAATTTTTATTACCGATGTCATTAATAGACCTTTTACAGTAGACTATGCATACTTTATCTTGATGTGCACATTTTCTTTATTGCCCTAACAATTTTGGTACCAAAAGTGAAGTAAACCCTTTGTATCGCATGATGGATTAGTCTTCTATTAAAGCCTACTAGCGGGCTCTAAGTTATCAATTGTGTTTGAATCTGGTATGGAAGAAAAAATAGCACTGATATCAGGCTCCTTTTAGGTCTGAATAGCTAAAATTTAAAGAAATGGATCCTTATTATCTAATTTAACAGATTTGAACAAATTACACGGAATAGCTTTTTTCTGTACCGATAGAAAGAAATTGACGGATCTAATTAATTAATATAGAATTAAACGTCCAGAAATATGCAATATATCGCGATCCTATCGAGTATTAATAGTAACTATACGCAATGACAAAAGTATCATTGATGAACTGAGGTAATAACGTCGAACGATTACGTTTAATAGTTCAATTCTAATACTTTAATTTTAAAAACTAAATTTCCTCCTGGATCATAAAATTTAAGAGATAGTATTCACAATACATTATCAGATAGCAACTACATTATATCAATTCATTCTGTGATGCGATTTGAGGGTATTTAGGCATAATTTGGTTATTTACTAAACCATCTTACCATACAACTAATATAAGAGCTTAGTTGCTAATACTAGAATTTCATTATTATGATGATAAACTAATGTAAGAACTTTTAGATAATGACACTTGATGGCTCAATTCTAACACATTATTTAAATCTAAATTACTATATAAGTATTACAATTCAGGTAATTACATTTACAAATCATTAACAGTAACTGCATCAATAAATCACCGTAGAAAGCTATGTACATTTTAAAATACTTTAGCTTGCTAATAATAATAATAATATTAATAATAACATAAATACTAAATATAAATACAAATAATAATAAAATAAAAACGATGATAATAATATTTTAGCTTGCTTCTCGCTCCATTAAACTTAATTTTCAAAAATAATTTCGTTATTTGACTATTGCACTACCATGAATTCAATTAAATTTTAAAATATTTCTCAAAATTTAATCAAAAATAGTGATAGTAAACATGTTCACTCGCTATTGCTAATCCGTATGGTTATACTGTTATCTCAAATTATTTTTGCTATACTAATCTATTTAAAATGTGTACTCCATCATAAGCGTTTAAAGTAATTCTACGCGTGAAATATTCTATAATACAATTCACGTACAATACATCAACATCATTATATTTTTAATACTCTACACTATGAATTTAAATCCATTCTAAACTGACTTTCGACGGTCATCAGTAAGCTAGGTTCCACGGAATGATATATGGCATCTATGGGTAAATCCTTTTGTTGCTAGCCATAAAAAGGAAGAATTGACGTAAGCTGTTTTGTAATGTTGACGGAATATTATGATGGTACTTTGAAAATCCTAAAATACAGTAGATAATCTTAGAGACAGAATAGCAACTCTAAATATTGATTTATTTCAATATGACAAATACCTATTATTGCTCACACTTAATAATAGACAAAAATTTATATATGGTCAAAAAATAATAAAAAATTCGCTCAGTAATAGTGGATGGCATGTAATCGAAAGCATTGTAATTTACTCCCGTTTTTCTTAATCATAATTAACAATAACTCTAAAGACAACTTCAACAATTTATCATACTTAAGAGCCTTCGTGCAGATGTGCTATCTTGACGAATATTAAAATAAAGAGAGAAAAGAATAGACATGCAAAATCCAAACAATAAAAGACTACTTCGGTATTCTTTTAACGTCTTGAAAATATAGACGAAATATGCAGTTGGAATTTATTGTTCAAGCTATTTTTACAAACAATTAAAAGATTATTTTTTTAAAAACATCTGTGACATAACTAACGTAACTAACGTATGAATACCAATCTATACCACTTAAGCTTAATCTACTTGTAAGAGCTAGTTTTATATTTTAATGTGAATTAATAAATTTAAAATCTATCTCAAGGCCGCTATTACTTATAACCTTTTATATATCTAAATCTTTGGCTATAATAGGAAGGATTCAATTTTCTAGGTTGCCATTATATTTTAATATAATATCAATTACATCATTAGCCTATTATCGAAATGTAGAAATTCTAATAGGATAAGATAATAACAAGAGATTAGATCTTAACTATTATAAGAATTTTAGTAAATATAAACAAAAACAAACTTCTAAAACAGGAATTCAGTTGTATCCTAAGTTGCATAATTGAATCAACTATACAATTAATTTCACTGATTATATGCTTTGCATTCACTCATATGTACGCGCAAGAAATAAGTAATATCATAAAAAATTTGAGGTTATACACTTAGAAATAGTAATAATGATGAATTTTAGGGGATAAAGAATACTTAATTAAAGTTTAATTTAAAGTTCTCAAACTATAGACTCACCAACATTCGGATGTGTCTATCAAGCCGTTAGTATATCATATTTATAATAGTATTTTGCTCTTAATCAGTTTACCGCATCAAACGGTCCATATATTGTACTATGTTAATCTATCCTACACATACCGTAGATAGTCTATGAAAAAGGAAAGCTCTGTTTTATCCTATCATCAAATTTAATTATCATGCACACTTTTCAATAACCTATATGAGCACAATGATAAGTATTCATAAGATGATGAATAAGGATTGATTTAGTAATCTAGAAATATCGCATCTGTGGGACGATAATTACTTTTTAGATGTATTAAAACTACTACGGAAGATTAAAGCGCTAATCACTAACCTTTGCTATTATGGATCAATTA